ACTCTCTAACCTGCAAAGATAAGCAGCGGATGTTTGTGAACACACTGTCTGTTTCAACTGATTTCACCATCGAACTAGTAACCGCTGCATCCACAGATTCCCTCAAAAAAATCATGCGAGTTTGAGAGTTGCTGTGTAAGGGGAAAGTTAATAAACTGTGCAAAGCGCCTACAGCAAATGTCTAATCATTGGGGCTTTCTTGCAAAATTTAAAAAAAGAATTTTATACATTAAGTTGTTTCTCTCCTTGTAAAAAAACATTATGTCTGTTTCTCCCAGCCTGTTGGCTACTTCCATTGTTGAATGTAAAAATAGCTTACAGTACAGTTAGGTTGTGCAAGCCAACTGCAGGAAATTACCATTGGAGAATGAATGAAAGCGGGTGGGCATATGTTGTTAGAAAGTAGAAGAGGGAGCGATAGAGCAGTGTGTGTGAGCTCTGGTTCACTGTGAGCAACTGTAGGTTGTTGTATTGGGAAAGAGATGTTGGTGTTTGCTTTAAAATGTAATTCCTTTTTAACTTTTAGCACAACAAACCAATGCAGCTTTGGATCCTGTAGTAGGGTGAGCTTTAGCTGCGGAGGGACAGATGCCCTCTAGATATGAGTACATTCTGTCAACTGTCTGTTTAATTGCCAAGAAGTGAGATATTTCTGGAATGTAAAACAATTTGAATGTCCTCTGCTGTCTCCTCACAGGTATCTCTGGGAAGAGTCAGGTCCTGTTTGCATTAGTGTTCACCACTCGCTACCTGGACCTGCTGACCTCCTTCATCTCTCTCTACAACACCACCATGAAGGTGAAACACGTTGCTCCTCGTTCTCACATCCTGTAGCCCTTTCCCCCCCCACGCACTAAGCACACAGTGTTGAGGCTCAACCAGTACACTGAGTCGACACGCCTGTGTTTGCTGATGGCTGACGTTGCCCGGCATGATGTGTCACTGCTGCTTGATTGTATTCATGACACACCAGTGAATATTCATGTTTCTGTTTCTGTTTCTGTTTCTGACTGTGTTGTCTGTGTCTTTCAGATCATCTACATCGGATGTGCGTACGCCACTGTGTACTTGATCTACCTCAAATTCAAGGCCACTTATGACGGGAACCACGACACATTCAGGGTGGAGTTCCTGGTCGTCCCCGTCGGCGGCCTGGCTTTCCTGGTTAACCACGACTTCTCTCCCCTGGAGGTCAGAAATGCTGCCCAAACACACCCCCTTTCAAACAGCAGTACTGCTTATGTTTCTGAATGTGCACTTGACCTCTGTTTACATCAGACAGCTGTCAGACTCCAGTCATACAGGTCTACATGTGTCATTACCTAATGTAGTTATGTTTCACTTCTCTCCTTCTGTATATGCACATGTCTCTGTCTCTCTCTCTCTCTCTCTCTCTTCAGAAGCGTTAAATTCTTTATTAAAGGGACAGTTCACCCCTAGATCAAAAATGCACATGTTCTCTTCCCTGTAGTGCTGTATATCAGCTTAGATTGTTTTGGTGTGAGTTGCTGAGTTTTGGAGGTATCCGCCGTAGTGATGTCTGCTTCTCTCCAATATAATGGAACCAGATGGCACTCGGCTTGTGGTGCTCAAAGCGCTGTTTTCTTTCTACGTATCACCACGCAGAAGGGAGCATACGTCTACTCACGGACGAAAGGCTCGTGCTCATGACAGCACAGGATGTAAACGGTAATGGCGTCCTCCTCGGCCGAGCTAGCTCGCCTAACACCGCCGAGATAGCTTAAGTTCAGCTACGGTTGGCAGGTGTAGTTCGGTCGAAAGAAAATAGTTCCTGCTCACAACAAGGTCTGTGAAT